CAGGGGATGGGTTAGCCTGGTGATGGGTATTAAAGAGGGCACATTCTGCGTGGAGCACTGGGTGTTATGCACAAACAATGAATCATGGAAGACTACATCAAAAACTAATGATGTAATGTATGGTGATTAACATAACAATAAAAATTTAAAGTAAAAAAAAATAAAGTCCACTTATACTAAAAGTGAAAAAAAAATAAAATAAAATGCTGATCTCATCCAGAAACATCCTCAATGACATACCCAGAAATAATGTTTAAACAGGGCATCCCATGGTCCAATCAAGTTGACACATAAAATGAACCATCACAATGACAGTATGTTAATTAGGTCTGAGGAGCAGGAAGTGTTGAGTGTTCTGAAAGCCTTGTTGAGTCACACATACTCCAAGTGGTGAGAGATAAGCCCTACTAAGAATTCAGATACATGCCATATAGGTAAGATTTTAGAGGTTCAATGGTGAGAAGCATATCAGGATATCCCCTCCAAAGCTCCAAGCCTATTATACCTTGCATCTTCTACCACTAAGAAGCACAATGCTTGATAGTCCTCCCCAGGTAAGGAGAATAAACATGCTTGCCAATTGGATGAAAATTATTCTAGGTTTTGTAATGGGACGTGGTGTGGGGGGGTAGTACCAGCTGGGAGGAGGCAATGGTTATACCATCTTAATAATAAAATGTGTTCTAATCAATATTTTTCACCTAATAGTATATTATGAGCACTGTTACATGTCAGTAAATATGGTTCTATATCATCCCTATCATAACTTTTATTTTTCATTAAGCTTCAATTGCCGTTGGCTCTTATTGATTATTCTTGGTGTTGTGAGTGGTGCTAATTTGTAATGAGAGACCACAGAGCCTAGTGTTTGAGAACACAGACCATGTTCTCAAAGCCAGCATAGGAGGTGGAATCCCAGCTCCTCATGTGCAGCTGTGCATCCCTGGGCTCATAACTTGCCCCCCCACCCCTTGCACTGATTCCATCTATAAAATGGAGAAACTAGTACATAGCTCACTGGATCGTGAGGATTAATGAGTTAATATTTGCTGTGCTCCTCGGAAGTGCCTGGTCCTGAAAGTAGTAAGTAAATAACTCACAAACATCCTTGTATCAGTTAGGGCTCTTTGCCAGCCAGACTAGATTTATGTAGGTTAAACAAAAAGACACTCTTTGAACAGATGCCCAGTGGCTCATGAAAGGACAGGAAGGCTGGGCGCAGAGCCTGCAAACGGCCCCAGAACTGGGTTGGGCAGCAGG